ACGGCGGTGCCGGCTGCCTCTCTCCTGGCCTGGGCAGCTGCGGGCTGTGCGGCCTGCTGCCGCATCTCCTGGGCGTGCCTTTGCCAGCCCGTGACCGGACGTCTCGTGTCACTCTGATGGATGATCTCTCCCATGGGAAACTGCAGTCTGCCTAATTGCTGTATCTTAACAATTAATGATTCTGAATTGAAAAGCTCCTAAAAGCTTACTGTGCATTAAATCAAAATAAATGATCAGCAGCTTGAAGTTAGCCTCGTCTTGGTAATAACGTGCTACAAAACACACGGTGCATCTCAGTGGGTCAGAATTTTTAAAGCAGCTTTGCTCTGTGGTACTTAAGTTGAAAGACCTACTTTAGGTTTAGTGATGGCCATGAATTATTTAACAGATATTACGGTAGTGGTGGGAGGCCCTTGTCAGGAGAAGGTTTTAGTAACAATTATTACCATAAATAATTTACAGATTAATTCCTTTTCCAATGTGTTCTGTGCACACTCTTGCTTAGGAAATTAGACAGCAGTTTGAAGGTTTGAGGCCAGATGATGAGCTATATCTGTGGGTGATAATATAACTTAATATATGTTTATGCTAAAAAAATACTTTGACATTGATTGTGTTAGATACTGAGGCAGTTTAGAAGTAGCTGCTGACTTATCTGAAATTATTTTTAGAGCATTTCACTTCTCATCTGAATAGAATTGTGTAGTATATTTGTTTCTCACATCAAAGTCTGCTAGCAATTGTCTTCCAAGTCATCCATAATTAAGGACCTGAAAATTCAGATGCTAACTAATAAGAGTCTCAGTTTTCATATCTCTGAAGTGATTAAAAACTACCCTAGCTTTTGAACAGAAGTGCAGTGCTAAAAAAATTGATGATCATACACTGCTGATTCATAAGATTACTGAGACAGGAAAACTATCTGTGTGTTGAGGATGAAATATCTCCTGTTTTTTCCTGGTGAAAATTCTAAATTTAATCAGTGAAGAACACTTTATCCAGTTGCAATACTGTCATTCATATTGTTGTTCTTGTAGTGTTAACATGAGTGAGAAGTTGAACTCTTGTATTTATGAAAAAGACAAAGAAGAGTAAAGGAAAAGCTTCCTAAGCTCTTAACTAGGGTAGTCATCACAAGTTTAATGTAGTTTTGAAACAACTAAACACTCCAGTTTCTCTCTCTTCTTCAGTAGCTTACATGTTGTCCAAAGTGTGCTCTACATGTGGCATGTCATTGGAGAGAGCTTAGTGATTTTAAACAGCATTTGGATGCGCACAAACAGTTGCAAGAGATGGGTTTAGAGTTGCTACGTTCCCTGGGTAGAGTTACAGTAGTTATGGCACAGGGTAGAATTGTCTTCACTGGCATTTGGAGTGTATTCTTTCCGTGACAACAAACCTGTTTTGCTGTGCATGGCACTGAACTACGAGTAGGGGTCTGGTTGCTCCATCTTAGCTGAGAAGGCCCCGTCATGATTGCTTCCAGTTGTTGAGTTACTTCTTGTCTGCCAGCACTTGCGTTCTTTGAGGTAGATTTAACGGTGGTGTTTTACCAGCTTACTGACTCCAGCAATCCATCCTGCATTTTTGTCTGAAGCTACTGATTCCTCGTTTCCCTTTTACAGAGATGAGTGAATGTGTGCCAGGTCGTTAGCTGTCAGTTTGTGATACGCCATAGTAGCATAAGTTGGATTTATGCTGGCAGGTTGGACTGCGAACAGGAATGTTTCTGGCACAGGAATTTTTTTACTGAAGTGATCACTTGCAGCACAGTGACTAGGAGGACATCTGGGGGTAACAAGTCTTAAAAACCAGTATGACTGATCCTGCTCCCCAAATGACAGTCAGTGTCTTTCATAAAACAGTTTCAAAGGACTGAAATGACTTATCCTGTAAACTGCTACAAAAAAGGTTGTGGACTTGTAAATATATGAAGGCTTCGAAGTTGCCAATTCACAGAATTTGTAAACCTGCTTATCACAGTTCTTAGAGGTAGAAGGATGTGAAACCCTGAGAAAACTGATTCTGTTGTACCAGAAACATGTTTGGATGGAGGAGAGGTTTATTTTACTTATATTGAAAAGCAATGTCTATGAGCTTAAAATGTCGTTGGCCTCTAAGTTACTCTAAGTCAGAAGCTTTACTGTTTTTGTATATTGAACCACCTGGACAGGAGTCATATGATATGAAGGCACTCATCAGCTGATTCTTTTTGAAAAAAGAAGGCTTATTAGGAAATTGGAGCGGGACTTCTGTTTTGTTTCATTACGATGACTTAGATCTACGCCTTTGCTACCCTGCCAATAGACTGTCATGTAGCATGTAGCAGATGTTACTCTAGGAACTTTGGGAATACGTGCCTCACGTGATGACGTATGCACAGTGGCTTAATTCTTAAAGTTTTATTCTTAGTAAATTCTAAATACATTCATGATTTTGTAAGGTGTTCAAAACTAGTATTTTCTAAAACATTACTTTTCCTATGTTGTATGTGGTTTAAGTACTAAACAGGAGTGGCCATTTGTGTGAAAATTATCTAAAACACATTATATATCTAGTCAGTCCATCTCCTTTGCTGTGTAATTTGGGGTCTAACATGGCTGTTCTTTGACTAAAGATGGCTCAGGCCTATAGTTCTTTATGTACAAAATTACGATACTGCTGGGTTTAAAACTGAGGTACAGCACTGCTTTGCCTTCAGGCTGATGGAGGCATTCTTGTATTTAGTTCTCGTTATTTCCTCATCTGCTGTGTGGTGGATTCAGGAAACAAGTACATATGCATTCTGTGTTCTTGTCCGTAATATTTGGTGCTGTTAAAAATTAGGTATCTTCAGACTATACATTAAAGGTCACTTTTATCATCTGCCTGAGGGCTCTTTTTTCAGGGTTTTTTTTTTTTTTTTTAGACCTATAATATGTGTAACACTTGGGAGTTCTGTATCTCAGAGAGTACCTGTAGGTCCTCATGATTTTAAGCAGGAGTTTAACCTGTGTTAATTTGGTGGTTGGTTGTTTGGAGAACAACCTATGTGGCTTTGGGAAATGAAAGTGCTCTTTTCTTCAAGACCTTGAGAAGAGCTTTAGTGTAACAAAAATGGTAAAGGTGGGTGTGAAATTGTGTAGTTCATTAGCGAATATTGACAATCACCTTTGTATTAGAAAGTGAAAGTTTATTTTTAGCTTATACGAGATTCATAGTTCCTTTATGTAAAACTTCAGATGAATTACTTGTGTTTCTCTGTTGCTTTGGGAGTTAAATATTGCAATTCCTTGGCAAAGAGAATAGACTATGGCAATTGTTATTTTGATCTGAATGCATATGAAGGGATATAGTGTTATCTGGAAATGGATTTGATAGTGGTGCTGTGTAGTCTAGAGTGTGTTTAACCTCAAGATTTTTTAAAGAATTTTTTTAAACACTTATTTTTTGATAGGAAGCCTCTTGGATTAGCAGCAAGTAAAAATTTCAGGAATGTGGCATGGTGCAGTGTCAAGACCTTGGTCACACAGGCACAGATAGCCTTGCAAATCTCAGAATAAAATACCTGAACTACAGGAGGTTGCTGTCCTGTGTGCATGTTTCCTCCTGCTGCTGGTTCTACTTTTCTGATAAGAGATTTCAGTGACTAATGTGATCAGTATTTTTTCGTACAATAGTTAATTGAGTTGACTAAAGCTGAAGATCAAATTACTACAATAAAAGTGTGATGAGGTAGTAAGGAATTTTAAATTATTGAATATACTCTACAAATACTACCTTACTTTAGAAATGACAGCTGCTTGCATTATAATTAACGCCAAATCTCGCCAGTGCCCTCATAAAAATGGGGTTTGTATGAGATTGAGCAGAATTTTCTCCTTTGGAAGTCATGTATACTTTTGTGACATTAATACAACATAACAACATAATTTTTGTGGTGTTTGTTTTGCCTTCCTGAAGCTTAACCTTGGAGACGATATCGTGAAAGTTGTAATTGATTGGAGCAAGCTTCAAAACACATCGGCACTTCAGCCAACGTTGCTCTTTAGTGCACTTCAGCAGCATATTTTATGTTTGCAGGTAAATATTTCATTGGACACGTTCGACTTGGCAAAAGTGATCAACACCTGAATGTAGTTATATTGTCTGAACTGTAAAATTTTGGTCATTTTGATCTCATTGCTGTGTCCAACAGGAAGGAATGCAAAAGTGTATATGCTTGGGATTCCACTATGTTTTATAGGTACTTATGCTTACGGGTTTCTCAGATTAGTGGTGGGAATAGCCACTGTAGGTGAGCAGGCTGGATAAATGCAGCCTCATTGATTTCTAGACTTGCATTGTAAATGTGATACATTTCCATCTATGGTGGGTTATAATTAAGCAATAAGACACGGCAGGTGTGTGTCATGCTATGATAATGATTCCATGCGTTGGGTGAGTTTTGAGGCTCATGGAGTGCTTTCAGTGGTTCAAGAAGTGGCATTATCCCAGCATGACACATCCTGGAGTGTCTTACTGCAATTAAATATATTTTCAGCATAGGGTGTTTTTTTTAAAAGAGTAATTTCTTTGACATTAATGTCTCATCTTGCCAAGTAGCCAGTCACCATTACTGTCATTTCTTTTAACTATTTGAAACTTTCCAACCTTGCCAAAAGTATGTGTAATTTAGCTGCATGGCAGGGAGGGTGAGCATTTGTCAGCTGGTAACTGAACAATGTTTTGACCTTGATAGTTCATCTGTAAAAGGTGGGGATTTGAATACCAGGGTTTTTCCTTCAGCTCGTCAATGAATTATTTCAAGTGTGTATGAGTGTGTGAAAAAGGAAGTTCTTGTATTTGTTTGTGTGTAGGTCAAAGAAAGTCCCTTTATGTTTCCCGCCATCCACCAAATTTTTGGTGTGATAAACAAGAAGAGAAAATATGCAGGGTAAAAGCACGTAAAAATTACATGCAGCTGTAAGAACACCGCAAGTAGGAATTTGATTTCATTTCAGGAAATGTGGCTGCTAAAAATCGCGCTGTCTTTAAAAAAAAAAACTAGAGGGAAAACAAGCAGTGAAATTCAAACTAGATGAAACTGGTAAAAATTAAAAAAGGGGATGTGACATATATATGCATTAAGGTTTTGTTATTACATCTTGTGTAAGAGTTATTGCAGTGGAATAATAAGCATTTACTTTTGCTGCCACAAATGTCAGTGCATTCTCTCATTTAATTTCATGACTGAAGCAGATAATCAACCGTGTCAAGAAAAGCATGTGTTCAGGATAACGCCTATCTATTTCATGTATGTGTGCTCTCATTCACTTGGGCAACTGGGGTTTCAAGTGGAGAAGGTAGTGCTGTGGTAGTAAAGTAAAGGCTTTACAGTGTGAAAGCATTGGCTTTCATGTTAAGGAGGAAAAATACTAAGCCTTACTGTTCTGAGTAGGCATTTGAATGACGTGGTAATTAAGTGGCATTGGTGCCAACGACTGAAGCTTTCATTTGGCTGGTAACAGACAGCAGCAGGCAGATTTAGGCAGATTTTCACAGAAATTTGGGACTTTTCCTATACAAACCTCTAAAAGGCACATGTCAAAAAAAGGCCAGAATCATGGTGTGCACAATATTTGGAACTTTTTCCTTTTTTTTATGACTGTGTTCCATCAGAGACAGATGTTGTAATTCCTAGAATTATTTCAGTTGATCTGTTTTAGAAATTGTAATAGTACTTGGCTTTTAGTTTTTGGAATGTTTTAGCTTTTTTTTTTAACCCTAACATACTGTTTTCTTCATTCAGCCTCTTTTAGAAAAACTCCAGTCCTTGATTAAAGAGGAAAATATAGGCCATGTTGACCCTGCAGGTAAAGCAGAAGGCCAGACTTGTGAAACAAGTTTAGATGTTTATGATGGTAACTGTCAGACTGAAGAAAAGTGTGCAAGTTATGACTTGGGAGATCTGAAGGATACTCATATTAATTTTGATCCAGAGGTGGTCCAAATAAAAGCCGGAAAAGCAGAAGTAAGTGATTTTACCTAAATAAAAAAAAAAAAAAGACCTTTATGAATTTTAAATTTAAAGAATGAAATGGATATATGCCATCATGTTTGTTACCTGCAGATTGACAGGCGGATATCAGCCTTCATCGAGAGGAAACAAGCTGAGATCAATGAAAATAATGTCAGGGAATTTTGCAATGTTATTGATTGTAATCAAGGTAACTGGCTAGCCAGACTTTAATCTTCATAGCAATTTTAAGTTTGTGGGTTTTTTATTTTTGAAAAGCACTATTCTGTATTTAAAACAAAACTTTAACTTTGTTTTAAAGTTAAGAACTTGCATGCGCACTGTAGATGTCAGATAGACAGTGTTTAATGCATCCCATACAGAAAGATTGGAGCTATTGCTGATCTTAAATCAGATGCTTTTGTAGCTATTGTTCCCAGTGTTTTAGCTAGTTGTTCCTTCAGAAGTCAACAGAACTGCAATTCAGAAATATCTTGTGAATTTCATGTTCAAATTCAAGTTAAATTAACGTTAGTTAAATTACAAAGGAGTATTTTTTGCAATCAAATTGAAATACTAACTACTTAGCATAACTTTTTTCTTTCACCATTATTCATGTTATTGACATTTTTGTGGTACCAACTGACACAATTGGCTGTATCTTCAACCAAACAGTCTTAAATCCATTTGGTAGGCTGGATCCCATTAGTATGGTCAGTGACAGTGTAACCAAATGTTTCTTAAAAATGAAGACACTTCTATATACCTAAGTAGAATGGAGGCATTTTATGAGTTCCTGTGAACTCAGATGTGCATTGTCTCTGTAATGTACTTACATTTTTAGAGATAAAAGCTTATTGTTCTGTAAGCTTTATAGGAAGAGAGTTTAACTCCTTCAGTAGTAGTTGGAATGAAAAGGACATCTGAAGTTTATTAGAATATGGTAGATAGTAAAATACTGCTTCCTAAAAGTGTTAATTAAGTACAAAAGAAATTATGATCTTTTGTATGTTCAGTAGTAATAAAATATGCGTAAAGCTTTGGTGTATATGAACGGAGATTAAAATACAAACATTAGAATAAACTAAAATTGTCTGTACTGTAGGTTTTTATGGTTAAATGAATTAAAATAGTCACAGGCACCAGAATAAATGTAGGAAGGTGAGAAAAGTATGCTGATGAGAGAACTAGGCCAGCCTAAAAATAGGAGAAGAGTTTTAAAAAAGGTCATAAAACCAGAACACAGGAAAAAGACTTCTGTACAGAAGAAAGAAATAAGTTGCAGAGAAATGCAGTGAAAAGTTAGAACCAAGTAAAATATAAATTGGAAAAAATTTGGTCCTGATTCAGTAAACCGATGTACACATGTGCATAAATTTATATAAGTGACATATTCAATTAAAACTAGTAGGTGCATGCAAGTATGTGAAACTATTAATGAGCAAGCATTTGTAGAATGAATGATGTATTTCTGTTGTTTCTGTGGTATGAAAAACTTCAGTTAGATTGGTTAAAGGCCTCAATGCTGATGATGGATAGAATATTTTGAATTGTAAATACATAATTAGGAACTCACTGGATTTTTTAAATTATTATTATTTATTTAGAAAATAGCTGTGCCAGAACAGATGCAATTTTCACACCCTATCCTGGATTTAAAAGCCATATAAAGGGTAAGAAACTATTTTAATACTCAATTTATAAGTGTCCAGATAGAACAGCACAGATGAATTTTTAGCTAAAAATCTTTTCATAGACTGTTAAAAAAAATGTAAACTAAACATGGATTTTTGGCACTAGTGAATACTTTTACATCTTCCCTTCTCTGAGGTTTTCAACTGCTTCATTAAGCTGATGGTTATTCACTAAAGACCAAAACAAAAGTAGCTTAATTTCCTTATCTGAAAGAAGAGGTGCAAAAGATAAAGCAGGACAGGGGAGATGAACAACTAAGGTGAAGCCAGCAGTTCAGTTAAGGCATTTAGATTAAATATTTTTAGCTTCTGTTTTTCTGGTAGTCAGTGTAATGATATTGAATTACAGAATTTGGGATGCAGTGGAAATTCTGAGACATAGACTTATGGGAAGTGACAAGTTGGGGAGCAGGCTTACCACTGCACTACCTTTTGGAATGGAGTAATTAGTGTAAAAGTGATTATCCAACAGAAGTTACGTATAAAAGATTGCTTGTCCATATGCTGCTCTCTAGGTGTACACAAGTTACTCTGCATTTCAAACCAAACTAACAAAATCTCCACAGTGAGAATGAAAGGAACCCTCTCTTCCTTTTTTGAGAGTGTTAGTGTTCAGATATCCACCAGAATTCATTCCTTCAGGAAACTGAAAACTGCAGAATAAGACTGTGAAGCATGATGATAGGCATAAGCATGAAAAGGTCTGCTGAGATAAGAAGGAGATGGGGAAATGAGTTTGAGTGAAAGATTCTGAACTAAACAGCCTTTTCAGTAGTCGCTTTTTTAAACTGAGTACTGGTTTGTAACTTGGATGGTAGCGTATTAGAGGAAAAAAGAAAAGGTTGCACTTCAAGTACCTAAAACCTGAACAGTTCATAACCGAAATGTGGATAACACTTAGAAAGGAATTGGAAGTTAAAACCAGAGAAACTGAAGCAAGAATGTAACATGTGGCCGTCATGAAGAACGTGTCTGGAGTTGCCAGTGTATTCAAGTCTGCAGTATCCTGCAGTATTCCTATCAGAAAAGGCTTGAAAATGACCCTGATTTAAAGAGAAGTGACTAAAATCTTCTGAGGAAGACATGGTATGGCAGGGGAAGAGGTAGACCCGGAAGCAGCTGAAGAGTCAGTAAAGCTGTTACCCGAATAACAGAAATTAGAAGAGAACTTTCTTGCTGAGATTCGTAGCTGTTTGTCTAGCTGTATGCCTCCCCTCATCTTCATGTATTTATGATGCTTCCTGTAATATTAGGTCTGGCCTCTTCTTTGCATTCACAACAGCTCACATGTGCAACTGCTGACATAGATATCGGGTTTTCTGCTATTTATCAACAGCTGATGACAAATTCTTGATACATCCATTCCACATGAATGTATGAGTAATTCTTTTACTTTGCATATGTAAAGTCCTAGGTTTTTGTTTAGTTTAGTTACTCATGCAAAAATAAGAAAATACCTCTATTGAACTTCTGATCTTACTGTGTGTGGGACCCTTCGTATGAGAGACTGGTGTGAAATTGATTTAGCACAGGTTTTCGTATTTTAATATTTTGATTGTTTAGTTGGATGTACTTTGTGTTTCATGTGCCTATATGTTAAATTTGTGTTCTCTTTACCTAGTTTCTAGGGTAGTAAATACATATGGACCTCAGACTAGATCGGAAGGATCACATGGGTCCAGTCACAAAACCAGTGTCCCCGTTCATGATTGTGGGAACCAAGCTGTTGAGGAGAGATTGCAGAACATTGAAGCACACTTACGGCTACAAACAGGTTTGTGTCATGTTTTAATTTTGACATCGGTGTGCCAGTTTGTACTGCAGTTATTATTACTGTAGCAAGACTGGGCAAGCCTATAAAAACTGTGACTGTGAAAACAGCGGATGGATCCACTGAAGGGTTGAGTCACCCCAAGTACTGCAATCGTATGTTTAGGTTCTTATGTCCAAATTGTGATGCTGAGTTGGTAAATCTACACGTGATGTGGTGGCAGACGAAAGAGGGGCACTTCAGGGGTTCTCCATAGCTAGTGGAGTCCTTCTGCCTTGACCCACTGAGCGGACTGGGAAAGCTAAGGTTAGGACTCAGTCCTGCTTCATGGAGACCTTGAGGGCTGGGTTTAGAATGAACCCAAAAGACAACACGAAACCTTTTGCTAAAGGTGGAGATTCTTGAAATACAGTTAGGTAAGAAACTGACTTCCCAGAATATGGGAAGCTCACTGTCAATACTTCCCTTTAGCCATGCTAGCGTGAGCCCACACTTTTCACTAAAATAAATGCTATAGCCCCTAGGCTACTGACTTTTGTTAAGTAGTTGCTTTCCTTTCCCCAGCCCCAATTTTCTAGAATAGAAATCAATGAGGCACTTAGCAAGGAGGAATCTATATTTTTCCTGAAAAATATTTTCAAAACAGAATGGAAGGCCAGATCTTCACCTGATAAAGTGAATGTTCTGTGCATCACACTGCAGACACACACTGACTGTCTTCTGAACACCGAATAGCTGCCAATCCATTCTCTGAGCATGTGGTGGACATAGACTAGATGACTGGATTCCTGTGAATGCATACTGGATTGAAGTCCTCTAGCAGCAAGGAGGGTAGAATACTCCGAGATACTGTTGAGGCAGCAGTCAGAGCTTGATGCTGAATAGCTGTCTCAGAAATAGGGCTGTGTTTTTGCGCATGGAAATAGAATTTGCAAGTGGCTGGCCAGCAGGAAGGTTACATGGTGTAGTAGCTTTGGAGTTTATACATGTCAGGAATAATAACTGGGGGTAGTTAGGGAGGGGCCCTTGCTTCCAGGTTGTGCCTATAATGGATGACATAATTTTGTTTGAAGGAGCAGGTCAGCTAAACTACAGTAGAGGGGAACAGGATGAAAGTGTGCGGTTCAGGTCAACTCCTGTCCCAATCAGTTAGAGTCCCAGCCCATGGCAGGTGGGCTGGAACTAGATGATCTTTAAGGTCTCTTCCAACCCAAACCCTTCTGTGATAGCCCAGAGCTGCACTAGAAGAATTCATTTGAGCAGGTAACCTGCCTCAGCTACCTGCTCCCCAGTTCCTGTTCTGATGACTCAAAGAGTTGTTTTTGACTCACCTGCTGTTTTTCAGAACAGCTGCTTCTAGTGCTAGTACTGCTCTTTTCCCTTTACATTAGGAGACAGCAATATTAAGAAGAGTGAGAGGTTAGCTGTTTTAATTAGTAGCTGCTGAGTGATGAGTAGAGCAGAACTGAAAGAGGTAAGCTACCCACAAAATTGTCTGCCTGAAGTGAGGAAATAGATGAAGGGCAAAAAAAACCGTTAGTGCTTATTTCAGTAGTTTGTGGGGTAGAATAGTCTTACCTAATAGACCTAGAAGTGGTGGCAAGAGAAGTAAGAGCTTGCTAAGGCCTTGGTTGTCACCACTGTTCAGAAACAGATTGTCTTTTTAGTTGGGATGGCCAGTGGTTGGTTGTGATAAAGTGATTTCAGGTTAGAGAATACTATGTAGCTAAATAAGATGCTTTCTGAGGCTGATCTTTTGATCAGTTCTGTTCTTACACAAGAGAAGCAAGCCCAGGCTGCTTAATACAGCTGCAAACAGCAAAAAAAGGGTTGGTGGTTTTTTTTTTGTTTTGTTTTGGGTTTTTTTGTGGTGTTTATGGACTCTTTTTTTTTTGGAGGAGGTGTTGGTTTTGGTTATATTCCAAAGGTCTGTTACTCCATTCCGCACACACAATACTTCCCACCCCTGCTTCTCCCCTCTATGACCAGGCAAACGTTGTTCTTTGTCAAGCGCAACTGGTACCTGTCCTCTAACCTCTGATGCTCGGTGGGGATTGTTCTGAAGGAAACCTGTCTTAGATGTCAATGCTGAATTCGTGTGTGGTCTGCCATCCCATCAGCTCCCTCCTGATGCAGCTGTCAGTTCTGAAGTGGTAACACATGGTGTGTGAGCAATGTATTGTAAGAGTGGTCCTTCGTTGGTCCAGGGAGCCTGTCAGGTATATTTCAACCACCTGCATAAAGTTGTCTGTTGCCTTCATAGACTGCACTGGCTTATCAGTAAGATTTTACCCTGAATCATATTAACTACCCTTCCTTTTTATTATCCCATCCACTCACTTTGCTTCAGCTGCTCGTTGATAGCTGAACTTGAAGAATTCACCTCTAAAACTTGCAATCTTTACTTTAAAAAGTTATTCAAGTGCTTCTCCTGGTTTCTTTGTACTGGTGTATTTAGGTGGTCCTGTACCAAGAGACATTTATCAGAGAATTAAGAAGCTTGAAGATAAAATCCTTGAGCTGGAAGGACTGTCTCCGGAGTATTTCCAATCTGTAGTAAGAAATTCTCTCAAATTCTTTTAGCATACGTAAATGCATTCGGAACTTTTGTGCTTAAATATTTGATGTAGTGGCAACAACCTAAGGAGTCAGAGGGTAGATACTTTTGGTAGATAGCTCTGGCTTGGTGTAACGGTTACATTTCATGTTGACCATCTACGTAACTGTTTTAATAGGATGAGAGAGTAAAACCTTTAAAAGTTTTTTCGTGTGATTCTATGACTTAGGTTTCTTTGTTTCTAGTTTTCAGGCAGAGGTCTGTTTCTTTCTGAAAAGCAAACCTTATCCTTCATTCACCAAAGGAGATTAGGACAAAGAGAACATGAGCTGTTCCTACGTCAGGCTTTGCTGGGCTGCAGACATTTCTTGTCTGTTACCTTGCTCTTCCTTCTTTCCCCGAGTAACAGTAATTATGCTTCTTTTACTGTTGAACATATTTTAGTTTGTATCTTCTCCCTTGAGACCAGCCAAAGAGGAGTCAGCATCTAAGAATCAATAGCAATATTAAAAACTTTTGTTTCTGGAGACCAATATGCTCCTTTATTTGTGAGGCTATTTCTTCAAGTTGTTGGAAACCAGAAGTTAAAACGTACACTTTTGTAAGCTGAAATTTCCATGGAAAGTGCTTTAGGATCTTTTCTAGAATGAGGATCTGGGAAAAATTTGGGATGGTGGCAATAGTATTGTTGTGCAGCAATTATAATCTTTAAATAATTAGATTAGTAAGTAATTAGCATATTTTATTGGGGTGGATACGGGAACATTTTAGGGAGAAAAATTGACAATTTTAAAAGCTGATACTGATCCTGTTTTTTCTGAAGGAAGCTTCAGTGAAGTTGACAGTAGTTGGCTGCCAAGCGTAGAGAACCGTCAACAGCTTCTGACCGCTCTCCAGTAGTATTTCTTGTGATCCAAAGTACACTTAAATATAAAAAGATTCCTTTAATCTGTGGAATGGCAGTCACTGTTCTTTCTGTACTTTAAAGACTCTTGTCAGTGTTGTTACAGAATTACTTGTGGTCCTCTGTCAGTGCAACACTGAGTCTGTTTTGATTATGTCTTTTCTTTAGAGCTGTTCTGGCAAGAGGAGAAAGGTTCAACCTCCCCACGTAAGTGCTGTTAACTTTTGTTTACATTAAGTTCAGGATGTTTTGAGTGAAAAGTAATCAGAAGTTCTACAAAGCAAACATCTAACTTCTCAGAACTGGCTGTGGCAGTATTGGATAGCTTGCTGGCAAAGAAAGGGAGGGAAGGAGGAAGAAAGTTAAGGGGTGTCACAATGAAATGAGTCTTCAAAGAGTCTGCACTAGGGTAGGTTAGTTTGTGTCTTCACCAGTGAGAAGGATGGTGGAAAACAATATATCTGTAACGATGTTAATCAAGCCACGGGTAGCAAGCAATTTGTGACTTCTGATCAGCCTCCTAGTGATGACTTCTGGTTTTGCTGTGTGGTTCGGGGTTTTTTGTTGGGGGTTGTTTGGGATACTTTTAATTCGCTTTATTGGTTTATGAAGAGACAGTAAAAGTAGAAGTGGCTGGCTTGGCAGAAGTGTTGCAGAAAGACCTGACATTACAGCAGCTATTAACCTAAGTCAATAAGACCTGCACTCTTCACAACACCATCACATGAGGGAATGCATTAACAGTGTACCTTAGGTCACAAGAGAGGATTTCTCATCTGTATGAAACCGTAGCTGAAACACTGTCTGCTAGTAGCCATCACACTTGGACGCAGAGGGACTGAGGAGAATGCTTAGAATGGGATGCAGGCCGTCTGGGGTTTGAGGTTATAGGCTTGTTTACATGGGAATAAAATCCTCCAAAGGGTGAAGTATTTCTGTAAAAAGATGATGACTAGTTCTTTGTGTAAGAAGAGATCAAAACCATTGTTAGGTTAAGTGGGCACAGAGGAGATTGGTGTTGGGCAATAGGAAAAACACCCTTTCAGTTGTAAAGGCGGGTTCTACAAGATCTAGACAGTCTCATCCAGTGTTTTTGCCATCAAAGGATTTTTGGGTTTTTTTTATGAACAGTTAAGTAAGCATCTAATGGAAGTAGCATGGATGTATTGATCCATGATCAGGACTGTCAGTTTCTTCTAAGTTTGCATTCTTTTTCTTTCAAGTTTAAATAGCCACAGACTAGATTCAGACAATTCTGCAAAAGTATTTCTATCATTTAGTGCAATATGCAGTGACCTCAAGTATCAAGTGCTAGGCCACTTCTCCAGCAATTACAAGATGTAAATGACTGTGGTTTTTATTTTGTTCTTTTAGCAGAACTATTCATTGGCTGAACTTGATGAAAAGATCAATGCTATAAAACAGGCAATACTGAGGAAAACGAAAGAAAGCAAGTCCAAGGAGGCTGAGAGGCTTCTTCGATGAAGAAAAATCTTTTCAGAATCATCATCAGGCTTTACACATACCTAAACCGTAGACCTGAGTAGTGTTCATCAGGGCTGACTTGAGCAATGAAAAAAAAGCATGCACATAAGCTCCTTCTGGATGATCTTGAAGGCTTGCTTTCCGAAGAGCTCCATTAAAAACAATCTTAACAAAATAGTGACTGTAAAATGAAGAATGTTTTAGGAATAGCATTCTAATAATCCATTCCCTTCTGTTATAAAGGAGGATTGCAGCATTGTTGTATGTGGAAGGTCTTAACCCACATACCAGAATTACGTTTCATGTGTAATTCTTGGTGACTGAGTATTCAAAAGGGCTATCTTTTGGAGTACTTTTCATATAAGTAGTTTGCATGATTTATGAAATAAAATGAAATGCTTCCTCATAAGTAAACTGTCTTACGGACTTAGGGAAAAAAAAATTATGAAGAAACTTGCCGTATGCATGCTTACCTGCATTTTTTTCCATATTTATCACAGTTTTCACAGCTGTTTGAAATGCAGCAAATTGCATTTCTCTTTGAAAGATGGTTATGGAAATCCCATATCTGTAAATAGAGACACCCTGTCCTTCAATTCCTCAGTGCCCTGTAGGAATTCAAACTTCATAACCTGCTGACAAACCTAATATATTCTAAAGACCACTCCAGGGGAGTTTTTGAGGAACGTACCAGCTTCCCTTCCTTCCATATGCATGCTTACATTGCCTCTGAAGCATGGACGCTGGGCATGTAGTTTAAAGTCAGACCTTTGGCCACACACTAAAGTGTGATTTTGTTTGTTTGCTTGTTTTTAATAAACAGTTTTCTATTTATACCAGTTCTGTGGTTTCTTCACTATCTGTTTCTTCATTCCAGTTTAGAAGAAAATGAGCTATTACAGAGGGAATCTGTTATGTTAGCTGCTCTGCTTGCAGCAGCTGTACCACTGATGTGTCTCTATCAATCCGTGGGACAGGTGCTATGAACGGTACTGACTGGACACGTAATGGGTTTAAACTGAAAGTGGGTACATTGAGATGGGACATCAGGAAGAAGTTCTTCCCAGAGAGGGTGGTGAGGCACTGGCACAGGTTGCCCAGAGAAGCTGTGGATGGCCCATCCCTGGAAGTGTTCAAGGCCAGGCTGGATGAGGCTTTGAGCAACCTGGTCTAGTGGAAGGTGTCCCTGCCCATGGCAGGGGGGTTGGAACTGGATGGTCTTTAAGGTCCCTTCCAGGCTATCCTACGATTCTGTGACAGTCCTGCACTTTAAGGAATAGTAGGCATTTTCTGGGGTTCCATGTTGTTATCTAGACTAACACTTTTAGTGACTGCACTTAATGCTTTTCTGGTGAACTGGCAGAGATGAGAGACAAAGCTGCGTGAGCTTTGGTCCTAACTCCAGGAAAGAAGACAGCTTGGTGGTTACCTGTTCAGGTACCTCTTCTGCCCAGAAGAGATTAACTTAGCCCAAGCGGTCATGAGTGTCTCAGATACAACATCGGGTACAGTGAGGTACTTTGCAGTTTGAAGACTGGCTTGCCCATGTGTAGCATGGTTACTCACATTGTATGCTGCGGATTAGTATGGTATTACTGACTACTTGTGTTACATGAAATGTTGCTTTTGTTGAGGATCTTAACAGCTCATATGAGGGGTATTTTACCTGAAGTAGATAAGCTTTGCTTGCTGTCTACGAAATACTGCTACTTTGTTTTGGTTTTGGGCACTGTGTTCCCAGAGCTGTAGCTCAGAAGAGTACCCTGTGGATATAATTGGGCCTAGTGCCACACGCTTCACGCAGTAGCACTTGAAAAAGAGTGGTGGGGGGTGGATGTTACAACTTGGGACAGGAGGGATGGACACAGGGATTTAGCTCTTATAAAGCAGTAGCCTCTGCTCATGTGCATCACAATTCAAGTACTGGTGGGACGTGCTGTCTGAGTCGTCTGCGTTTGCGCTCTGCAATTTTCTCTGGAAAATTCTGGAATGAAGCCTTAGGAGAGAAGATTAACCTGTGGTAGATTCCCAGGTCTGCAAGATTTGTCTAATATTAAATTATTTGTTGTTAGTTTACATTAAAAGAAGTCCATGGGTGTGTATATACAGAAAAAAACCCCAAAACTTTATTCCAAGAATCAACCCCAGATGAGGATTGAACTGCAAACACTGCTGACTTGCTCAAGGGAGACTGGTTACAAAAAGACTGCATTAGCTGTTTCAAAGCGGCTTTTTCTGGAGTGAATTGCCTGCTACTTGAAACATCTCTTGCCATGGGCTTCTCTTTCTCAGGAGGGCAGCAACATAGCAGTTAAGGGTTGAAAGCATAATGACGATGCATTGTAGCAAGACAATAGCTAAGGAGACAACAGCGGAAGTACTCCGGATGGTAATTTATTAGCCCCATATACTTTATCAAATAAATGCTCCAGATACACTTGACAAATGTCAAGGTATTCATCGTGCTTTGTTATCAGGCCTTTGCCATTCTTTGGTTTCAAGTTGTTAATTTCTGTACATTTAGTGCCAATGGGCATGTCCTATAAAAATTCATTGGAAAGATCCTCTCTGCTGTCAGTTGCACATTTAAAGGAGTTGCAGATTTCAGACGGCTGCCGAACTGTTGGAAGCTTCCCTTCCTTTGCCATGTGACTTTTGTACATAGAGGGATGGGGGAACAGGACATTGTTCCAGTATTCAAGCTACTGCTCTTACCAGTTTATCTGTCCTTGCCTTTTGTCCTTTGGGCTTTGCCTTCTACCTGACTTCCACTATCGGGGCAATTTCGGTGGAAAGATCCTGCTACCCAATCTACCACACAGGCAATTTGGGGAAACACCTTCTGCAGCACAGCAAGGGCAGCAACTGTTGTATGGCAACAAGCATTCTGCCTGGCTGTCGGTCCAGAGCTCTGCAATTTTCAAGCAGCCTGAGAAAACTACAACTGCTGGTTTTCCTGCAGGATGGTATCTCAGTCCATGAACAGGCACACTTCAATAAAAATGATAAATGTGAAGTAGATTCTTCATTAAAGTAGCCTAACAAGCGAGTGTGCTATTTTGTAAAGGCCATCTCGCCTTCAGCGTGGACATTTGAGAGGGGGTCGCGGCTCCGCTTTTCCCCACTGCAGCCAGAGGTGGAAATCTATTGACAGCGGTCATGCAAGAATGGCGTCGCTGGATTCTGGGATTTGCTAGTGGAGTCACACAAGAATGTGAAAACTGATTCTCTTTTAGGACTACCCTAACTTTTTAGCCAAAAGCCACCTGCATTTGGGGTACGCAATGGTGATTTTGTATAGAAAGTTTCCCTGTTGAAGAATTATGTTCTTGCACTGAACATAATTGCAACCCGTTGCAGGGTGGGATATCACAAGGCTCAGATGAAATTCTGTCAACATTTCCCACACATTCAATCTCTCTATATTAAAATTGCATGTAATTACAAATAGCAATGCTTAATAGCATTGCTTAATTAACTTACCCAGACGAGGTTTACCATTGCTCTAGTGTGCAGCTATTCTACATTATCAATACCAACAAGCTTATTCTGCTGTAAACGGGCTGGAAAAGAGAGAATGACCGTGGCACGTCCTGCGAGAGAGTGATTGCGAAGCATTTGAGGCTGGCAAGGCTCTTGGCTGAGCTGCATCTCTTGTGTCGTGATGTTTTCAAGATGCGTGCTTTGAAGGAAATGCTTAAAATTTCTGTAGCCAACCAAGAATTGAAAGGGTAACTTGGCCTCCACTGTAAGAAGTCAAGTCAGACTTGTATTTCAGCTGTAATACAAAAAATTTCACAGATAAAATGAGACATTCTGCCTTGTTTATCCCCACCTGAGAGCTGACACAGAGATCTTTTAATGTTTTGCCAGAGTCCAAGAGCCTGTGCTTCACACTTCACCTCAGTTATTAAAGGCTTCCAGTTACAGGATTAAAAAAGAATCTACAGAACTGTAAATTTGGCATTAACTATCTGAGGACGAAGTCTGAGAACATCACTTTTAAGCCAAGAACATTCATCTCCTGTGCTGGTTTCAGCTGGGATAGAATTCATTTTCTTCCTAGTAGCTGGTATAGTACTGTGTTTTGGATTTGGGATGAGAATAATGTGATAACACACTGAGCTTTCAGTTGTTGCTGAGCAGTGCTTACACTAAGTCCAGGACTTTCCAGCTTCTCATACTGCCCTGCCAGTGAAGAAGCTGAGAGTGCACAAGAAGCTGGGAGGGGACACTGCCAGCTTGTTTGTATATTCTTCAAATTATTATTATGATTTCCCCTTAATTTTCTGTCAGTTCTCTCCCCCATCCCAGTGTGGGGGTGAGTGAGCAAATGGCTGTGTGGTGTTCAGCTGCCTGCTGGGTTAAACCACAACACTCCCTCAGGAATGCTTCACCTCATTGCTGTTTAGCACCTTGCATGAGAGATGTAGGAAAACACTGGAGCTTGTGTTACTGCAGCATGTGCATGATCGGTTTCTTTGCTGCAAGCTCCCCTGAGTAGGGAGCGATTCATCTCTAGGAGGCTAATTTCTTACAGTTGAGTGCAGGATTTTAATAAATAAACCCAAAAGTGAAGTGCCCTTTTGAACAGCCCTCGTATCAGCAGGTAATATCAGTAATTTAGGAAACTCAAACCATTCACCATTCCACCCAAGGTATTGTGATCAGCGCTGGATTTTTTTCTTTTTTTTTTTCTTTAAATACATCATAAGTTATCTCTTTTGTTTTAATTAGGACTTTACAATACCATGAGAAATTTAAACCCCAGAATGCCAAAGGTACATTATTTGAAGGAGAAGAGGTCAAAATTCTGAATAAAAAATATTTTTGATTAGTGAGCTTACAAATCGTTTGCACCAGTTAGGACAAACAAAACATTCTCTACAGTAACACATGCTGAACAATCCACCCCTGAATGAAGACATGGGGAAGGGGCTTGAAGAGGGGAAAAAAAAAGACTCCATAAAGTTTCCCTTACAGACACCTTTTTCCTTTCCTCAGCAAAAGCAAGCATTTCCCTAACCCTGCCTGCTGAAGACTTCCTGACTACTTCAGGCTTCTGCAGCCGTAGGAATCTCTCTACCCTGGTTTCAGCTGTGCTATTACATGAACCCATATAATCCTCTCACAATTGCTTTTTTCTCAAAGCGTGGCAGAAAGTGGCTGAAAACTACCTGCGGCC